TATAATTAAAAAAAAAAAAACTTTCTGCCACTAATGAACAGAAGATGACTATCATGGCTCAGAATTAAAAATGCATTGATTTAATTCACTATGCTTGAATTCTGTCATACTGCAATCCTATATTTAAACTTTCACCGTATATACTGAAGGAATAATAAGGTGGAATTTCAGGGAACCAGAAAAATGTTGGAAAGAATACACTTGCCAACTTCTCTTCCCTCCAATCAAGACTTTCACTAATAAAGCATCCTTCCTCCTTTGAATCATTTAAGCCTCAATTGCATATTGCATCAGAGTGCAGGAAAGAGCAACTTCATATACTGCAAAGTCAGCGAGATAATGCTCCCTGGAACACAGTGTGCTGTTCGATGCTACTAGTCAACAAAAGTACCATATTAGCAGTTGAGACAAGTGAAGTAATGTAGATGAAACAATCTTCACCTAAAAAAGATGCATTAAATGTAAACATGAAGACTGTTACTAGCATTGTAGTGATTAACAGATTTTTAAAACTACCCACATCAATTACTCATGTAGAAGGAGAGACAAGGGAGAGAGACATTTATCGAGAGAATAGCATATATTTACGCTCCTTTCTGTTTCAGTACTCTTCTTTCACTGTTACTGAAAATAGAGTATGCATAATTCTATACATGTGCACTGTCACTGCAAGTGTATTTTTGGAAGTCTGCCCTTTTTTCAACATCCTGTTCAACTCACTTGTTACAGAGAAGGTCACTTGCAGAGAAAAAGTTATAAAATGCTATGATGACTTCTGCCTGTCTGCAGTGATGGCTTCTCCTGGCCATTAACTCTCTCATGTCAGCTCTTCCCCTGCTTTCTTCCTCTCCCCTTTCTTCCATCTTTCAGCACTGCCCTCCTGATTGGCCTTTTTTTGCTGCACCTCCCTAATCAAGGTATCCGTGTTTTTTCACCTGAAATGCTTACTTACTACAGAGAGTTGAAGGCTCACGCTGACTTTCTCCAAGTACCACGTCTTGTTTCATGTTCATTCTCCCTATCTTTCCCCTTTCATTCAGGCTAGTCCCTCCTACTATGCATACATATTCTAGCACCATCCTTTATAGTAAAGGAGAAAAAAGTCTTAGTCAACTATCTTTTTTTCTCATATATTCTTACCTTCTTTTTCATTTTAAGACTTACTGAACACCCAATTCTGCTCCTCAAAAGTATCTCATAGAAGTCTTTAATGACTATTTTTTGCTACATTAGAGGGCCTCTACTTGAAATTCAGCCTCCTTAAAAACACAAAAAGCAGCATTACTCAGACCTTTCTAAAATATCATGTTCTTTACTGACTCTCTGCTTCTGGCGTTCCTTTATCTTTGGCTATACTTTCAGTATTCCTTTTGTCATACTCTCTTTTCAACTTTTTTACTTTTCTTGGGTGCCAGCTTTCCTCACAGCACCTCATCAAGTAGACCATAGTCTGCTGCAGTAATTAGATCCTCACCACGATAGGACCAAAAACTCTTCTCTTAGGTGCCTACTCCACAGATTAGCATTCCTTAGAGAGACCCCTCCTTAGAAAGTTGCCCTGCTATGCTTTTCAGCTCTTTCATATTTTTTTCTTCTCATTCTCATTCCGAGCCCTTTACCTGTAGTAGCTGGGTCCCATTCATCTGTGCCCTGTTACCGGGTTCATTGCTATGGGGCTCACGTGGGGCATACAAATCACATCGAAGGGCTTCCCAGTACTATGCTTTTGGTCTTACCTTTTATGTAAGGCCACCTTTTAGCAACAGATAAACTTAGGATTCCATCTTTCCTCAAATACTAAAAAATCTAATTTGGGCCAAACCTACATTTCAACCTGTCTTATGAATCTCTTTCTAACTGTCCAGCCATTTGGCTGAGCCAATTAAGAGCAAAGCTGAAATCATCCTTGCTTCCAAACCTTCTTCTTTTCTTTTCTAGACTACCTTTCTCTTTTTGAAACTTGCATTTACTTGTCATTTTTGGACCAGCTTTCTTATTCACACTCAGTATTCAGGTTTTGTTCAAATCTTGCTGTTTCTCCCTCTAGTACGTCAAAGAACTGACTTTCTCTGTCTGTCCACAGGACTAATACGCTCCTCCTGACCTGCATGTCATGCACGCTTTTCCTCTTCACTGCATGGAAAGAGCTGGTGTGAATATGTGATTTACCAGACCACGTCTAACCTCTTTCAATCTAGCTATTGGATATTCCTCTTTTCTAACATCCCTTTGTTCTTTCATTTATGATTCTACGTGACTACTTTTCCTATTTATCTTGCCTTGCTCCTGTGTCCTTTTGTCACAAAGTGTTGGACCCTCTGAGATTGTTGTCTTCTCTACTATAACCGGTTCTACTCTGTTTCTACTTCCTTTTCCTTTTGGCATAGAACAGTGTTCTTGACTTAGTTTGCTCAACCACCTCACTCCCTTTTTTCAATTTTCTCTTAAAGAGCTATTTTTCCCATGATATTTACAATAAAGAAGGTGGATAATAACGGTTAGGTAAAAGGGCATTTACAAGGATGAAACAGAAACACTGATCAGCCACCACTGGAAGGCTACATTCAGAAATACTTCCATCAGTTAGTTAAAGCAGTAAAAATATGTGCAGAAATTAATGCTTCAATATGGAAGTGACTCATTTCAATTCAGTTTATTTTTTTCTTATTGATTAAAGCAAACAAATACATATGCGTGCACACACACACACACACACACACACACACACACACACGGAGACTTGTTATCTCTTTGAATAAGTCACCTTAAACCACACATTACAGTTTGGTCTACGTTATACAGTGTTGCTGACGTAGTCATGTAAGGATAAGCGTGAGAAAAGTACACTCCCTACCTTACACAGCTTTATCAACAAATCTTTCCGGTGTGACTATAGTTAAGTTAGCATGGTAGTGCTTTTGTCAGCTTAATTTTGTTCGGAATTGCTCTATGCTTTCCCATATGTCATCAGAAAAGCTTCTTTTCCAACATACGTTGCATCTCCACAGAAAAGTCTACCTGTGTAACTATACCAGCACAGCTATATTAGCAGAAGCTCTCTAGAACAGCCAACCTCAAAGATAAATTTATGTAACTGAATGTTCACTGAAACATCTGCATATGTAGCTAACCAGCTGTCATACTAAAGAATAAACACCTTAGTGTCTACTTTGTTCAAAAATAGCTCATGCAAGCTATAACACTCCTAACTTCTATCAGCCAAGAATACAGCTACATTTCAACATTTAAAAACATATAGCAACTTCCTCGGCATCCTCACTTAATATTCATGAATTGTAAGCAATGACTGGATTGTGAAAAATACCCAAGAAAAGTAAAAGCAAGGAATTTTGCTAATTTAAGGCATTTCACTCCTACCGAAAAATTTTAGGTATGGTATCACTAAGAGCTTAATCTGAAATGGCCCATAGGACGTCAGAAGAGGCAGATAAGAGGCCCAATACCTTGCAACAATGTTTACAAAGATACATTTCTCATAAGCAATGATATAAAATAATGTAGAAAAAAATATTAAATCTATATTTTAATAGAAGCCCTATGTTACAGTAAAAAAGCATAAGAAACCTATTAGGAGCCAAATACTAACACTAACTTTCGTTCTAACCTTAGCCTAAGGTAGGTCCTGCACCCTTTTCCTGCTCTACCATTAATATTATACCTCTTACCCTTGCACCAGTACTACTTATAGAATCTAGCAAATTGAGCAGCTCGTAAGCCCCTGGAATCCTAATGCCACTATCAATAATGATAACATTGCCCATAGCCTAGATACATCTAGTGAGTTCAATACGATGGATTATTTGACCATGCTGGCAATAGACCTCTTCCTAACTACAAACTCTTGCATAGAACTTCACATGGAACTAAACAAATACTACAGTATGCCTGTAACATATTAATATTTCTTCTTGCTCTGAAATAATGAGAATTCCCATGCAAGCGGTAAGTCAAGCATTACTGTAAGTTTATAGTGCAATCCCTGCAGTGACATAGCTTAGTTGATGTAGCTGCACTGACTTTAAAATGGCTACTTTGGATGCTTAAAGCAGTGTAATTACAGTTGGACACAGCTAGACATTAACCAATTTCCCAAGCGCTTATTCAGGTTTCTGGGAGGGTTTGAAGACTATGCTAATCAACTAAAGTAGGTGAGTCACAGTGGTGACTCTTTGAGTGACAGCTCCTAAACACTGGCAGATGTCCTTCTCAAATATAATACAGAGCCTGACCGCACATTATACTCCTGAGATGGGGTCAAAAACTTAAACAGGAACACTGCTAAAATACATGTTGAGGCTTCCTACTCTTTCCAAGTGATGTATAGCTGTGAACTTACCTTCTTACGACTCTTGTGTGCTTTTCAACCACATACTCTTTGTGGACACATGACCGTAAGTGACGGAAAAGAATTGTAAATAAACTGCCTGATGGGGTCTTGAAAGGTTCCTCCTTTCATATTCTTCCTATCGCCGAAGCCTTCGCAACACAGATTTGGGTCAGGGATAAAAACACAGAATAAAGAAAAGTTAATACAAAAGTGAATGAAAAGTGAATGAAAACAGTGTCCTTGTCTTTTTGAAAGTCAGCAACAGAGAGGGCCCCGTCCAACTCTGGATGACTTCCGTACCAGGGAGGGCCTAAACTGGCCGGAACTCTCCACAGTAACATGGACAGAGATTTTGTGAAGGTGTACTTCCTATTCTTCACTGTACAACTCCATTGTAGCTCCATTTCTAGGTGAGTATTATCTGGAACACTCACTGGAACAAATCACTGCAACAGTTCTGAGTTTCCAGTATAAAATTCTGCACCACACTGAGAATTTAGGCATGACTTAAGATACACTGAATACAATGAAAATTAAATAATACAGTGAACATTGTACTGACTTGATTACGTAACTCGATAAATCCTCCACTTTTAAAATGAATCGAAAGTTCCACACGGCTGCACCAGACTGACACAAAAGTTAAGCGGCCATGCTTCAGAATTCAGGTCAAGCATTACAAAGAATACAGATGGGCTAGGCTAAAACTAATTAAGTTTCCCTTCAACTTATATCAATAATGAACGAATAAAAGGACAGAAACATAGTCTCAACAATGATATTATGGCTAATGATAGACTGTGTCTTTTATGGATTTATCACTGTTTTTATTTGACTGATACAATCAAAAATAGCTCAATTTTGTACACTGACAGCAATGGGTTTAATTTAAATTTAACTAGCTAAGACCAAGCAACGATTGATTTGTGACCGCACAGGTTTAATTTTTACTTTACCTAACAAGTGTACTTCATACTTTATTACACTTCTTGTGTAGTCTGTTAAAGCTGCTGATTATTTGAGGTCAAAACGCATTACAAAATGCTTTTATTTCCAAAATCTATAAGAGGTAAAAAATAGGTAATGGGGTAAGTAATTTTGGCTTTTAGTAATTATGCAACTGGAAAAAATAAAGTGGAAAAAATCTGCTGCATTTTGTTACAAAACCACGCTGATTCTGATTTGATAGGCATCTGTCTTTTTTTCCTGCTGCGACGTCCATCCAGCAAGAGGCCACGGTTTGCCTTCTTCAGAGAGAGCGCTCGGAACTAACCCTCCTCTGCACCTACCGGGTCAGTGCAGAGGGCGGGAAGCTCGAAAACCTGACACCCGGGGAACGCCGAAAGTAAAACCGCCTTTACAGAAGCGCTTCAGGTGCCTACAGACAGGAGGCGGGGGGGGGG